TGCCGGCGTTTACTGGGCTGATCAATGAATCAAGTTGTGACGTGGACGTTAGTCGCTAAGTGATTCGCCGGCTGGCTGGCTGGCATGCACGATAGACACTTCCTTGCGATTCTAATTTACATTCTACTCTCACAGCATCCATTAGAAAATGACACGCTCATTTAGATATGATTCTCTTGTTCTTTGCTTAAGATAAAAATGTAGTAACTGTGCTTTCCGTCAAAACACAGGCACATGCATACGTACACGCGCGCACATGCCCATATATAGTAAGGTTCATAAAGGAGTAAAATAATTATTTTTATTTATTTTTTTTTCCAAATCTTCCAGAACATTCTTATAAATACAGTGTAACCCGGATATAAGAGAGTTGTCGGGACCGGAGAAGAAGTCTCTTATATCCGGGTTTCTCTTATATCAGAGTTTGGTCTAATTTATATACACTGACACAGGCTCTAATTTGGGACCAGTGAAAATCTCTCTTATATCCGGGTTTCTCTTATATCCGGGTCGCTTATATCCGGGTTACACTGTAGTAGAATTTCGTTCTTTTTATTAGAATATTACACAGACAAAGCGGACATTTATCAAAATCTACTATATTTGACACGCTACCTGTCTATATTTCTAAGATGAGGTATTGTAATTATTTACATTATTTACATTGTTCAGACTATTGTCCTCATCTTTATTGCCAAATTCACAAGGACACACAGTGGATAAAATCGTTGACTGAATTCAGTGATTTTACCCAAAAGAATTGTGTGTACATGACTACTGCAGTGGTGAACAAACACTTGGAGAGTTGAGTTACAAGGAGATAACTAAGAAATCCGGAAGAGGTATGGCACTTGGAACTAGAACAATCTACCCCGGTGAACGAAATAAAAGGTTCAGTTCGAAATGCCACTCACCTGAAGAAGGCTGAAACGTCGTGAATATGGCAATAAATATGAGGACAACAATGTAAATAATTTCATACGCTATTATCAAAAATGATCAACTGGTTCGTTTTTTACGGTTTATCAACATTTTTGGGGTTATTTAGAGCCATAAAATTTTATAAGATATTAAGAATTTTTTATAAAATGGCCTAGGGATACAAGTTTTAATAATTAACACATAACTGGGGGGGGGAGTAATAGATTTATTTCTTTGCGAGGGAATATAACGAACGCAACGGGAATTGGAACTCGACTCTCCGATTAAAAATTCCGAGCCATTATCCATTAACCCACCTGCACATCGAAGCTTACATCACCTAGTATTCCCAAGCGGTCACCACTCCAGGCTTGACGTTGCTTAACTTTGATAAGAGAATGAGAATCAGTGTTTCAGCATGAGATAACCATAAGCCTTGATATCAGAGAGATTATAATGGACATTTATCATTGTCATTAGCATTACCAGTCGTGCCAAAGTTGGCACCAGGAGAACGATAGTTTTAAGCTTATCTCTCAAGCTATTCATTCTTGTAGAATGGTTACAGCATCATCTTTTTTCACACCTCAAATTATTAGATTAATTCACTTTTCAGCCCTTCTGCAAGAATTTCTTCATGTATTAAGAAAATACAACTATGGTGATACAATTGAACTCACTTTCTTGGATTGTAATGTCTGATGGAAATATTATTGTGTGCCATGGATCTCTTCATGTTCTTACAAAAGAATTGCACCAGTTATATCATAACCCCCTCTCTGCTCTTGTTTCATCAGTCTGTTGTACCCAGCCCCAGCAGTACCAAAAACATTATTCTTGGCATTATCACTTGTCAGTGCTTTTGATTTTCATTGCTAATGCATAGCGACATCAACAAGTTGGAGGTAACCTGATTTTCTGGAGATTGTTCTCAGTGGTTAGTGTAAAATCACTGTGGTCGTAACTTTTTTGCCTCTGCTGAAAACTAATTTCACAGCAGAAACCAATAAACTCTGTTTACACCTTTGTCAGAATAATGAAAACAACCTTTCAATTCTTAAAATGAATCAAAAAGAGGCAATGATAACTTTCAGTTACTTTGGCTAATTTTTTTTAAATGGAATCGTATATGGGACACTTATATATACAAAAGAATTGCCCAGTGAAATGATGACCCGTCACTCGATTATCCATTATACCAACCGCAAATCTAAGCTTACGGCACCTGATATTCCAAAATAGTCACCCATCTAAGGACTGAACAGCCTTGATATTGCTTAACCGGTGTGTCAACGTGATGAACCCGTAAACCGCTAGAACGAATATACATTTTACTTTAATATATTGTTTTAATGTACCTGCGAAAGAAGGATTGACTTTTTTTGACCTAAATGTTTTTGCCTTTGATATATATATATATATATATATATATATATATATAACTAGACTCGTTTCGAAAAACCCTCGAATTTTTGATTTGCTAATCAAATCAATCTCGAGGGAAAAAAAGGTTTTAAAAAAGAAAGAGCTACAAACATGAACTTCTGTCGACAAAAAATCGCACAGATGCAGGTCTGAAGCCCAAAGAAAAAAAACCCCGATACGAGAAAACAACTAACTAACAAAGCGCTCAATACAACCGTACAGCAGACCTAGATACACCTAGTGAGCCAGACAAATTTGTCTGGCTCACTAGGTGTATCTATCTATCTATCTATCTATCTATCTATCTATCTATCTATATATATATATATATATATATATATATATATATATATATGTGTGTGTGTGTGTGTGTGTGTGTGTGTGTGTGTGTGTGTGTGTGTGTGTAAATAAAAAGATCCGCTTGAAGATAAAATGGAACTAATGTCTTTAATTTAATTACAAAATTAAATTCAGGGCTTTTTAGCTTCCATTTTTGAAACATGGTTAGAACTGTGTAGCAAAAAAAACATATTTTAAATCAATTAATTTATAATATATATATATATATATATATATATATATATATATATATATATATATATATATATATATATAATTTTATTACTTTATTCGTTTTATAGTTATTCCAGTTGACTTTTAATGCACACTTTGTTCGTTCAGATATTCTCCAAAGTCACGACGGCACAATCTTGTAATCGAAGCGGAAACAAACCAATTTCTGGAAAATTAATGGACCTTATTTTTTTTAATCAGATATTACTAAAAACTTTATTTAGAGGATACACATATTTGGTTAAGCGCTCCATTTACTTTAAACAGTATTTTATTTCATCTAATGTTCTGCATAATCTTTGAAAACTTTGATAAAAAAAACAATGCTCTCTCCGGTATGATTCAAACCTGTGTCCCTCTTTGCTAGAAAAACCATCGTTAGATCCGACGTACTTTGAGTGATCGGCTTCGAAGAACTTTATAATCAAGCAAGAGCAACATTCACTAACTTGAGGTTATTAAAAATTATTTTTTGAGACTGTCAAATCCTATTTGAAACTTTAACAAAATCAGTTATAACAAATTTAGTATAAAAGATAAGGAAATTGATAGATTGTACTAAGTAAACTGTTGCACAACATCATAAGATTTCAAATTTTTGTGCTACAAAATCATAAAGCTTTACCAAAATTAGCAAAGGCTTATGGCCAGAGCACGTTGAAACATCGGTTCCCATACGATCAGCGAAGCACCAACAATTCGTTCCTGATATTCACCACGAATAACGAAATCTTCATGATATTCGTGACCACTAAATATCCCTTCATGAAACTTCTGACGACTAAGAATCTCTTCATTATATCCCTGACCACTAACAAACCTTTCATCATACTCCTGACCACTAACGATCCCTTCACGATAGTCCTGACCACTAACGACCTCTAAACGATATTCCTGACCACTAACGATCCCTTCACGATATTCCAGACCACTAACGATCTCTAAACGATATTCCTGAACACTGACGACCCCTTCACGATATTCCTGACCACTGACGATCTCTAAACGATATTCCTGACCACTAACGATCCCTTCACTATAGTCCTGACTATTTACGATCCCTTCACGATAGTCCTGACCACTAACGATCCCTTCACGATATTCCTGACCACTAACGATCCCTTCACGATATTCCTGACCACTAACGATCTCTAAACGATATTCCTGACCTCTGACGATCCCTTCACGATATTCCTGACCACTGACGATCTCTAAACGAAATCCCTGACCACTAACGATCCCTTCACGATAGTCCTGAACACTGACGATCCCTTTACGATATTCCTGACCACTAACGATCTCTAAACGATATTCCTGACCACTAACGATCCCTTCACGATATTCCTGACCACTAACGATCCATTCACGATATTCCTGACCACTAACGATCCCTCCACGATATTCCTGACCTCTGACGATCCCTTCACGATAGTCCTGACCACTAACGATCCCTTCACGATATTCCTGACCACTAACGATCTCTAAACGATATTCCTGACCACTAACGATCTCTAAACGATATTCCTGCCCACTAACGATCTCTAAACGATATTCCTGACCACTAACGATCCCTTCACGATAGTCCTGACCACTGACGATCTCTTCACGATAGTCCTGACCACTGATGATCCTTTCACGATATTCCTGACCACTAACGATCTCTAAACGATATTCCTTACCACTAACGATCCCTTTACGATATTCCTGACCACTGACGATCCCTTCACGATAGTTCTGACCACTAACGATCTCTAAACGATATTCCTGTCCACTGACGATCCCTTCACGATATTCCTGGCTATTAACAATACATTCATGATATTCGTGGCCTCAACAACGTGACGTAGCTTCCCTCTGTCTTTTCTAGTAATATTTTTATTGCAACTGCTCTGACGAGCTTTTTTCCCTGCTGCCCCGATGACATGAATTTAAACGTGCTACTAGATTGCATCTAGTTCTCATCCGTTTACTGTTGAAACAGGTAAATGCATCCGCTACTTCTACTCCATCAATTTCTTTTCTCGCACTCCCCAACAGTGGAACACCCTTCCGTTTACACGCTTCCTGATAACTACAATGTT